AAAGAGTTACTAATCCGCAGCTCAAAGGAGCGGGCTTTCCTGTCTAATTACAGATGCAATACAAGCCTCTGTCTGCAGGGCAATTACTGCTGACACACACGAGACAGGCCAAGAGCGCTGGAGACAGATGTCAACATGGCATCAAAGGAATTTCCAAACAAACATTGGAGACAAGAGGAATGTTGCTTTCCTCTTATTTTTTATTTTTTTTTGCATGAAAGGACACACAAACAGCCTTTGACAAGTAGTCTCAAAATTCCTCTGTGTGCTAATGGGGTCCCTGCATGGTTTCATGCTGACATCACCGCTGAAAATGCTTCTCGCTAATTTCATATTGTTGTGCACAGCCAGCTTCGGCTGAATCACTGACTCCCCAAATCATTCTGATCCCAAGGGACTGGAGACCTTTTCACCTCAAACCTCTCCTGCTGGATTACAAGAGCTTGTGTGTGTGTGTGTGTGCACATGAACACTTGACGGAATGAAAGCAAAGAGCAAGTAGTCGGTGAGAGAGAAACTGAGACGAATGGATATGAAGAGATAAAAGAAAATTGTTTTTTTTCTGTTGATGAATGTGAGAACAAAGTAAAATAAAGAAACTGCTTCTTTTCAATTCCACTTTGGCCTTGATCTTCCAATATGATGAACGCCTGGAACATTCTCTGTGTGTACACATGTGAATGCAAACGTTTCTAGCTATGCAAGCTCAGTTTTGTGATGTTTTCACAATTCATAATGTGATGCGAGTATGCCATTCTTGGGGATTTGCATATTAGCAACTTGTGAAAAAGAAGTACACTTTAGCATACTTTTTACAGTACAGTACTTAATTGTAGAAATAATATACTTTAAAAGAATATAATATATCCACGTGTATGATCCTATGATGAATGAACTCATTCAGTGCTCCGGTTCCTCCAACACTGAACTGAGGATCCGAGGACAAGGTGAGTTGATTAAGACTAGTTTATTCACTTTAAATGCTTTAGACATGTAAAACACCCACATTTCGCATCATTATTGGGTGTTTTAATAATATAATTGTGTATACATGATGACATTGTATGATTACATAATTACATTACATCACATTTGAACCAGTTCATTGAAACGAACTGTCCGAAAGAACCAGTTTGTGGAAAATAATCAAATTACTCTGTTGTCTGAGGCTCTGGATTACGGGTAATAATGTTGTGAATAATGTTCAGTTTCTTGCACAGACTGATCGTTTCACTTCATAATTCTGAGGCTCTGGATTACGGGTAATAATGTTGTGAATAATGTTCAGTTTCTTGGACAGACTGATCGTTTCACTTCATAAGACATCAATAGATCATCAGGAGCCACGGGTATTAATTTTGTGTTCCTTGATATGCTTTTTTATTCTCAAAAACAATGCATTTTATGAATCACCGAGGACACGGTTTCAGCTAAAAACTCATTTACTGTTCTACTGAAGAAAAAAGTGTTTTTGGATGGCCTGAGGGTGAGTAAATTAACAGCAAATTGTAATTTCTGGGTGAACTGTCCCTTTAAGTGAACTTCTTTTTCACAAGTGCTGGCATGGCAGAAAAACTGTTTGAAGAGAATCCTGTTTTGGCCTTAAGCGAACTTAGCATGGCTAAATTAAGTTTGCTTCAAACGAATGGAAAATCTTGGTTTATGCTTCTTTATGCCAGTTTATCTTGAAACATCCAGCTAACTAAGTAAACCACATTTGAAGAAAGGGACCTTGGGCTAAAGATGCATGAGAGAGTCCAAAACAAACACAGAGCCACAGCTAGTTGCGCGTCAGTTCTGTCTTCGCACTCCCTGGGACAAATAAAAGTCAGCTTATTAGCAAAGAAGATTCACACCATGAGGAATCCAAGTGTCCTAGATTTTTTTGAAGTAAGTTCGTTGTAGAGTCAAACATGCTTTCAGAACCAAAAACATCCTCTCTAATCTAAAAAAGGCATTTAAAAAACAGCTATTCTGTACTGTCTGGGAGTTGAACAACTGATTGTTTTATGAATTTGTCACAATGTGATGCCGCTTGAATTAAAACTATATTGACCTGACCACAAACCCAAAGCCTGTTTGTGAAAGCAATGAAGCACTGTTGCTCATTTCACACGTGAAAAGAACATTTACATACAGTAGAAATCTTGAAGGCACAACACCTGATATACTCTCATATCAAGTCAATAAAGATTTGACTCAAATTCAAGGTTTTCTACCAGGTCATAAAACAAATAGACCAAAATACATTTTTTTTTTAATTTTTAATAAAATAAATAAGAAGACATGAAGTCATCCCATTTATCCACTGAGAAACCCTTGGATGTTAATTTATCCAAGAGCAGGCAATTATATGTTTAGCTTCCAGCAAAAAATAAGAAGAGTTAACAACCGCCCGTCATATTTAGTCATTTTAAAGTTCAGAGTACACTGTTCACTGTACAAAGTGTACAGTACAAAGTTCACTGTGAATTTCAATATGTTAACGGTACTTGAAAAAATCTTGCTAACATATTGCCTCATAAAAATATAGTTAAGGTTGCTCAATATATTCAAGTTTACTCCGAAGCAGAATTTATGAAAACTTGAATATACTAAGAAACCTTAACTAGATTTTTCTGAGGCAAAAAGTCTATTTATTCTATATTTTAAAAGCTATATTTATTCAAGTAAATTTAATGTGTAATTTACACAACTTGGGGTCAGGAGGTGTCTCTTTACAAAATACTCCCCAGCATTTTTACCCAGGAACAATTGACTCTTACAGTTTTCAAACTATTTTTTACACTCGTGTCCTATGTCAGAGCTGTTTTAATTACGAAAGACTCTTGTGAAGTATGGCATGCAACTAAAAAGACTTGACGCCAGTCTCAAGAACTTGGTAAAAACCAGCAGTTCTCACGTAGCCTATATGCGTGACATCATGCGTTTGCAGAGCATTTATCTCTAGAATGTTGAGTTGAGTCTTAATCAATCCCAACCTAATTCCAGATTGACAGTCTCCAGAGCTTTCTGCTGCTCGAGTCTCACTCTTAAATAAGGAACCACAAACTCTGGGCTAATGAGCCTGGCGCGACTCCAGAGCTCCAGGGCTAATGGGAGGATATACAGTATCAGAGCATCGTCAGAATAAACTCAAGGGTTTGTACTGTAGTTCATGTCGGCTTGCTCACGCTCATTGCGAATGTGAGTTAAATAAACAAATGGAGTAAATGGAGATTCAATGTTTAGGTTTCCATCACAAGGCAGTGTAATATAGTCTGTTTATGTTATAGAGCAGTCTTTTCCTTTTCAGATTTGGAAAAGTCTGGATTTGGGAAAAATCACTAAAACACTTCATTTTTTCAACCACAAACGTTTAAAACTTGCTTTACTTTATTAGAATAAAGACAAGTCCTATTTATTTCAATGAATCGTCTTAGACAGGATGGATTGTTTGGGAAAATATCACATCCATAAACTATTATGAAGATGATTTTACAAGAAGTCTCTGAAATCATTACTTCAGAAATCATTCTATTATGTTGAAAACAGTTGTGCAGCTTCATATTTTTGTGGAAACCACAAAACACTGCCATTCAAAAGTTTGGGGTGAGTACTATATATTATTATTATTATTATTAATACTTTTATTCAAGAAGGATGCATTAAATTGATCAAAAGTGGCAGTGAAGACATTTATAATGTTACAAAAGACATATTTCAAATAAACACTGTTCATCTGAACTTTCTATTCTTCAAAGAATCCTGAAAAAATCAGTTCCCCTAAAATTATTAAGCAGCAAAAACTAATTCAATAACAATAAGAAGCATTATTGATAACTGAGCACCAATAATAATTAATACAAACTGAGCAGCAAATCAGCATATTAGAATGATTTCTGAAGATCATGTGACACTGAAGACTGGAGTAATGATGCTGAAAATTCAGCTTTGATCACAGAAATAAATTACATTTTAACATAATATTTACATAGAAAGCAGTTCTTATAAATTGTTATATTTTAAAATATTGTTTTTACTGTGTTTTTCACCATATATATATATATATATATATATATATATATATATATTCAACTTGTCTGACTAAAAAACTAATGTAATATATCAAAGGAAAGCACAAGCACACAATCTCTTGTCACTTAAATAATTTATTTACCACTAGAGCACCACAACAGTATGTGTTACAATACATCATAGTGGGTCAACAATATCAACATCATCATCATCATCATCATCATAGACAATAATAACAATAAACAGCTCTAGTGTGACAATGCTGGTGTCTCCTTCCACTTCCTGTGTCTGCAGGAAGTCCACTGGTATTCTTGCCCTAATACAAATAAAATAAGTGTCACCTAAAAATCCTGGGCATGAATGGACGTTGCTCTTTTAATCTGATCGGCCACCAGTTTCTCTCTAACACTGGTTAAGACAAGGACTAGTCAAAAGTGGAACCTCCACCTGGAAGCCACTCACATCATCAGCTCATGTTATGTGGGTGAAGCTATAACTACGAATAAAAACCAACAACAAAAGTTACAAATAAAAAAATGTAGAAATAAAATAGTCAGTGCAATTCTTCGTAACAAAGGATCACTTTCTCTGAGAGAAAACAAAATCACAAATTCAGGAAGACACTTTGAGATGTGTAGAAACATTTCTCCATGATAAGCGTTATGGATGTCAGCATCTGCAGTGCATTTGTCAAGCAGGCCTCTGCACACCATGTTCAAAAAGATGAACCGGGGTTACGTCTCTCACTTACACGACCCGTCCATTATACGTCTGTTCACAATCCTTTCATAATAATCTCTGACTTTACTACTCACTCTTCTCACATCAATAGCTACGTTTACATGCACCCAAATAATCCACTTATAATTGGATTGGTGGTTCAATCGGACTGAAAAGCCTTCATGCAAATGATTCGACTGAGCTCGATCTGAATGACATTTCAATCAAATTTAAAGGGGGTGCTTTACGTGCTTAATTTTTTCTTGTAGATTGGATTATTGCAGGTCTACACACCTTATACAATCCATTAAACAGGAAAAAATAAGCATGTAAATGCTTGAATCTGACTATTTTCTCAATCGGATTAAAAAATACACAAAAATAGTAAGTAATATGCATCAGCGATAGGCCTTACGTCATACAAACGTGTATTATGTTTATTTACATGTTCTGTCTTATGACCCGGTCAGTGGAGGAGATGGAATATTTATTAATATTTGCTAAATATATATATATATATATATATGTCATGAATGTGGCGACTGGGAACTGCATGTGCGCTAACGTTTTGTTCGGATTAATGTAATGCACATGTAAACAAATATGCAAACCAGAATCAACATTTAGGGCTCATGTAAACAGAACTTTGAGAATCCGATTCGGACTGGATTCATTCTGATTAGTGCATGTAAACATTCGTATTGCAAATGACCTGCCATCGCCTCAGTCTCTGTACTAGTCTGATGACATCACTTCCTTTCAGCACTGGTGACATCACAGCTTCACCTGCTCTAATAAGGGACCTTGAGTTGAATTCACGAAGTTGCCACTTTTGCATGCTGTATTTCAGCGCAAATACCAGCGTGTTATTTACTAACCACCCATATTCCAGTTCAACCAGGCAAGACATGCTCTGGTATAGCTCTGCGCGGTGAGTACTTAAAAGTCACAGTCATTCTTTTCAGAAACGCCTGCTTTTTATGCAAATGTGTGGCTGTTTGCAGCTGATTCACTGTGAACACTATTTTTTAAGGTGACATAGTTACATGTACGTAACCCTACATTAAGCACATGTAGTTAATTAATATTACTCAGAACATACTTGTGTAATTACATTGTAACAACGTCACCTTAAAATACTGTCTTCTGCCCATCCTAAAGAAACTAATTTTCAGGTGCGTGTTATAGGCACCATTTCTGCCTGGGATTTTTGTGTTTACAAATGATTTGTGTCAAGAATAAAGTAAGAGCTAGCTAGACATAAATGTATAAACTTCAGAATAAGGCGTTTAACGCACTTCCACATATACGTACATAATCGTAAACACTTCTTGCTTTGCCAGCTCAGTTTCACACGCTGTTAAGCTCTGAAACACAACTAACATCACAAGTACATGTTGCTTTCTCAGGGGCGCACAAAACGTCTTCTCTTTCAGATCAATTCCTGTCATGGTAAAGCAACCGTTTGAAGAGAATCTTTGCTGAGCAATGTCCACATGTTTTTATCCAGCTATCTGCATAATTAAACATTTGGCTTAATGGCACAGACATTTGATGGAAACTCTATTTTTTTCTGCCACAGTGATACAAGAATGCAATGATTTTGCTTTTTTTCAGCATTCGCGTCTGCAGTTGCGTACTTGTGTAGAGAATGTTTCTAAATGACTCTTTGCAATGCAACAAAACGTATTTTGGATGCTTGGAACAACATAACTTGTTGGTCTTGGCCTTTTTTACACCATGTAAGGTGGCTAAACTATGTGTTTCTGAGGCTTGCATGAACCTTTCCGGAATATTTCATCTTTCTGTCGCCAACCCTTATGCATAAAAGGCTTTATTTGCACCAAACTCGAAGTTCATTTGCGACAACTGTACAGTTTGCGGCAACAGTTTGCCAGAAGTTTCCAGCTCTTCACCAGTATTGGTGAACAATATAATGGGTTTTATATATTACCAAACAAACAATATCTGTATTTTTGAGGAAACAAAATGAACGACAACAGCAACAACAAAAAACAAAACAGAAGTGTTTGTTTGAAATAAATGGAACAAGGGATTTTCTCTTCCGCTTGCTTCACATATAAACACCTATCACGTACTTCCAGTGTTTGCCAAACTCACATCCATAGAGTGATGAGCGGGTGATGTGACACATGTCGACAAGTTCACACATTCAGATGTGTGTTTTTACCTATCATCTTGGTATCATTTGAGAGTTTGTAGGAAATACTCTGCGCAGCATGTGTGTGATTGGGTTTTAAATACTGTGTGTTTGTCTGTGTGAATGCGTGTTCCGGAAACGGAGTTGATCGGTTCCTAGCTGCACTTGCAGGACTTGACAATCATGTTGGAGAGCTGCTCGATTTTGGGGGTTTTTCCGATGTAGTAAAGGATTGTGAGGGGTTCCAGATCCTGAGACACACAGCAAGGAGATGCGGACGCTTCTGGATTGATGGTGTTATAGAGGCCGAGGATCTGAAACAGGACATGCAATGCACTTATTGAAACCATTGTTTAACAAATAGAAACTTTTAAGAAGCTTTCCATCTAGACTTGTACCAACTCCTCCCACAAAATAAAAAGAATGAAATGTCTTACGGTGCTGTGCTGGGTGTCTGCGCTCCACAAATACGGACAGGCTCCCGCACAGAAGTTGGCGTTATAACCTTTGGGTTCGTGGATCCACCTCCAGCCCAGATCCTTCTTGAAGTCGATGTAGAGAGAGCGTAAACAGCAGTTGTCCTGCACATTCCTGTGGGATGATGGGAGACAAACGCAGCTGATGTTCAACCCGATGGCTTGAGGGCCTGAGAAGTTTGACATGCAACTTTCTTCGTTGGCACATTTTTGGTACACTTTCAAACTACAGTATATGCACATAAAACTTCATACTCTTATTATTGGTGATTAATATATATTATGAAGATTAAAATGAGAAAAAGCCCGTTTTGATCTCAGAAATAACTGCAGTGGCCTTCTCTATCTCTATGCATATATTCCCATGAGCACACTGATAAAATGGTAACATTTAAATTAACTGTTAAAATACGATTTAACATCACTGAACCAGTTTACAGTATAAACATTCATTTGTACAAACAAACCCAATTTTTAAGGAATAAATCAGGTAGAAATAGCTCTTTAAGCTAACAATGGCAAGTTACCACATTTTGCAGTGCAGTTTTACATGTACGCACATTTTCTACCATTGGATCCTAGTAAACTTTGCTTAAGTAGAATATTTTGGTCTGTAAATGCAATTCACCCTTTGCCGGGAGTTTGTTTGACAGGCGATCTGACAAATCATAACGCAGAATCTGTCATTTTGTCTGACAAATAAACCGGACAGGAGAGTCGATTAACTTGAAAAATGGTGTGTACTGATGTCTTTCTGCGATTAAACAAGACACCTTCTGTGGCGCTCCAGCGATCATAAAAGAGCCACAAAATGGTATTTATTGTTTGAATTTCTTAAAAAATAACGAAATTTGAAAGCTGAAAAGCTTTGTTTCATACAGAAAGTAACCTGCTTGTCCTCTTTGCTCCACCATGCATTATTCAATGTGTGAGAACATGATGTGAGCCGTGAGAGAGCCATGGCTTGTTGGACGTAGCAACAGTAACTAAGCGGAGCAGGTCTTTGCGAAGGGTCAATTGTAGCATGTGCAACATTCAGAAAATAATTAGGCTAGTAATGCCTTCAAATTTCATTTCAATTCTTCACTTTGAAATTAAATTGGAATTAGATTAAAAAAATGTACAACTGCTCTCTCTCTCACTCTCTCTCTCTACAGTATATATATATATGTGTGTGTGTGTGTGTGTTAATATAGCATTTGATTTTTCAGCATGAATTAACATTCTAATTATGACTAAAATAAATCTAAGCATTTATATGCATTTTAAATATTGCACTACATAGATTTTTGACCAGTTAAAGGCTCCCTAGAATGAAAATGTCCCTGCCTCTTATATAATATATCTTTCACCTGAACATAGCAAATCATGGTTCACAGCTGTGATGTGGCTAATGTCTAATGGCTATAAACCAAAAAAAGAAAAAAAAAAGAAAAAAGGGACGAGTCCTTCGAGACATCCCACCCAAACCTTCTATTGCAATAGGAAATTTGTCAACACAATAAAAAAAACTAAAAAACGGTTCCATCAAGTGATTTCTTAAAATCCTGAATTCTGGCCAACGCTGCTAATCAGATCAGTCCATTCTTCACTGAACCCACTTTCAATGTCGATTTTTGATTTTACGATTTGGAGAGAAATGTCTGCTAGTTTCTCAGGTTGTTAATACTGGATGTTTTCATGGAATCTGACATATCAGGAAATATAAAATGAACAGCACACTGGTATAATGTGAGAAAAAACATGATCGTGACAGCAACAGTCTGGACGAGCGAGAATACAGATGA